GGCGTCAATTTGCTTTTTACCTTAACAAAAGTTTGGAAAAAGGAACAGTAAAAAACATTTTGCCTTTCAAAAAGAAGCTACTAATAATAGAACCCGGTTTATATGGACACATTAGGGGACATGCCATGGTGTCCGTAACATGCGGATGGCCGTATTAAGTGAGCTCTCCCAAAAAACGTCCCGGACACATGTTGTATTGATATAAAGACTATGGCAGACAAAGAGGAAGAAGGGTAGGAACAATGACTGCGCCGAAAAGCCAAGGAAGTGAAACTTGAGAAGTAATTATTAAATGGCTATATAGTACACGGAAGAAAGACTGACTTAAAATCAAACATATCAAGCTATTCTGCTACTTAAACCCAGAAATCTGTCATTGTTTGGATGGACAGTGTAAAATATCTACAAATAGCAGGTGATTGTGATAGCCAGTGCCCGTAAATTAATAGCAGGGTTGACAGAGTTTGTGCCTCAGGACACAGAAAAGTGTCCATTGTGTCCGTATTATCCGGTGTCCGTATTAAAAGGCTAAATTTTAGAAACTGTCCGTTATATACGGGTATCCGTATTAAGCGGATGTTCCGTCTTGCATAAATTAAAATTTTATGTCTGTCCGGCTTCTTATTGATAGAAATTATAGCCAATGAGCGAACGAGGAATAACTCAGTTAGTTTATGAAAATGTGGCTATCTAAGAAAACTCGCAAATCCCGCGCTTTGTAGTGTCGGTAATAAAATACTTTTACTTTATAACTTTGTAACTGTAAAACAGAAAAAAAAATATTACTGAGTGGTCTTGTGCTATAAGGTTGCCTTGGAACATTGGCAGCAAGGTCGAGGTTCAAAATCGCTTGAGTGAGGATGGCTACGAACGTACTCAAAAGGAAGTATGAACTATTCCTGTTTGATTTCATTGCCTGCAATTTCAAGCAATTTCATTTTCTTCTTCTGCACGGATCCGTGTACGTCAAGGGATCTCAAAGAGCAAATAACGGAAGGCAGCGAACTAGACTTCCTGGAGATATACCGTTCATGAAAAGAAGCTCGCGCAAGGGTCACATACACTTGAAGCTTGTTATCATAATGATCAGGCTGAGAAGCGCAAAATAACAAACGCCTATAAAGTTTTTTCTTTCTGAGCTTGCGTGCTCTCTCTTCAAATGATGCGGTTTAATCTCGCAGTCTACTGCGAATTTCAGTGACGTTACAGTTTAGCCCCTCCAGAGTTTATTAAACTCGGTCGGAGGCGTACAGTCCATATTCTCACACAGATATTTGGCATACCCGATCTCCCTATCAGTCACAGTCTCTTTCCATATAAGGAGCATATTAAGCAACCACCACTGCGACGGCATGGAGCGAAAACGCCACAAAAAAGTGAATTCACGCTGTTTCAAATTAATTTTTATCACTCTTATTCTATTTCGTTCAAGATGATTGTCATATACTGGTGAATGTTTTTTGGTGTTTAATTCTAAGGCGAATGTATCTCAATGTAGGAAAAGGAAAAACAATCGTTTTCTAGTCTGCAAGCGTTCCGTGTTTAGTAATGTTTACAACACGAACAACAGTGTTTTATCACTGGTTTAACCTTCGAGCGTAATAAGCGCAAGATTTTTTAACCATGCAGTAAAAAAACGCGTGCCTTGCGTTTTTTGACAAGCCTTAAAAAAAATCGAGTTTATTTAACACAGGACAAGGGACTTGCCCAGCCCCTTAGCTGTAACAGGTTTAAGAAAATGGTCGATGCGCACTCTCTCATAATATCGGAAACAGAAATAAGTTAGACACGCCTACCTTTAGATTCACTGTCGGTCTGCGTCCATGAGCAGTCCGCCGGTAAGTACGTTGTGTAAGCATCATATGGTTTGACGTTAGGTACTACAAGCAATGTATATATACATTTTTCCCAATACAATGTACATTTCACATTTGAGAAGTAGAAAATTATGCTTTTAATTATCAAATTGCAATTTTAAAGTTGGCTGAAAAGCCATTTTATGGGGTCGGCTGATAAACTATTACTATTACTTAATATTTCATTGCAATAGGATTGCCAAATAACGGTGTTCTCTTTTTAACTAAAAAAATAATAATAAAATGGGAACACAAAAGCAGCCAAAATAACAAAGGTTGGTCAAAGATATAATTATGCAAATATATTGTACAACCTCAAGTACACAGTTTAAAGACCTGTTCGCGTGTGGCTGATTAACCCGCCTGTCTATATAACCTCTCATTTTAATTTGATCAAGTTTACATGATAGGTGCGGGTAACCATATGAGAGATTGTGTGGACAGGCGGGTTATCCTACCTAAGCTGGTCACCTCACCTACCTGGGGACCCCCACCTTTCATGTAAACAGGTTCTAAGCGTCTACCTCCCTTCGCAAAACGGTTATCCAAATTAAAGAAATTTCCACAGTTATTCTGTATCGTACAAGAGGGAAAAACGTTCGAAGAGAGTGTCACTACATCTAACTGCGATGCGACGTGACATAATGGGAATTGATATGAATTAAGTTTTGCAGAATTGCAAACCGGTCAGTGACTGGTACATGTAAGAATTGTTTGCGTCTCACTTCACCAACTTATTCTTGGCTCGATGAATAAACAGACGTAAAATTGGATTAGTCTCGTGATTTCTCAGTTAAAAAACGTCGACATTTTTGTGAATAAGTTTTTTCCTTTCTCTTGTCCCCCTCCTGCCTCCCCCATCTAAAATATCCTCTCCCCTAGCCCCTTAGGAAGGCCTGATACTCAGGCTATTTCAAAGGTTACCGTGAATGAATAAAAATAAAATTCAAACACAAGATATTAAAAAACGATACTAACAAAGATATAGAGGATATTACATGGCGGCGCGGAGATACGAAATTTCTCTTCGAGTGTTGAAAAATATTTCACGAGTGAGCGCAGCGAACGAGAGAAATATTTTTTCAACACGAGAAGAAAAATTTATTATATAAACACCAATGAAATACCAAACCATTTCACTTTAATAGTTTTTTGGTGTGAAAGGCGCGATTTATTCTGTAGCCATAGCAACGGTGATATTTTCACGTGTGAAGATAACATGTTATTTTCACACGTGAAGATATCAAGTTTTCGCGCGAACGCTCACGTTTCATTGGTGTTTATATAATGAAAATTAGGTACTTAGTCTAACTAGCGAGTTAATATTTACGGGAACTTTCTCTGAGGATCTATTTCCGAACTTTTCGTTAGCCAAAGTTAGGTCTCGACGGTTGAAGTTGACCGCATTCGCAGTTAATCGGCAAAATTAGAGAACTCAATTCTCCGGATTGAAAGTAATAGTAAACATATCGTGAATAATGTACTGGTTCGATCATGATCAATGTAATGATTTTTCGACTCCCTGCCTTAACATGGCGGAACGGCAAGTTCAAAGTTTTCCTCCTCTATTGAGAACCTTATTGAGTCACAAATACTTCATGTATTTAACAATCATTGAATGAGGCTGAGTATGATGTGCAGAATTATGCATATCGCGGAGGGGCATAGGCTCAGTCTTCAGCCTTGGGTGTCAAGATGCGCCCGCGGTACTCCCCACCCGACGGCTGGGCGCACGGGCTAAGTTTCTTGTGCATGACGTTATGGTGTTAACTGAGTAATTTATGCATGACGATTTTTCCTCATGAACAGGAACCATCTCCCATAAAGACAGTAGATAGCTTATTTTTTTCTCGTAGCGAGATTACAAATGTATTGTTAGAAGACGCAGATAGAAAGGTAATGATCAAGAGAATACTCTGTTTCCTTTTTGTGGAAAAAGAAAAGCTATCAACCAGGAAAATTGACTTCAATGTCTTCGACCAAGTTTTCTTCACGGCAGAACGTTTGTTCTGTTTTGAAATGCATGCAACCAATACAGCAAAGTTTGTGAATAATTTCCAGGTACATTTTTCACATTATTGCCAAAGAAATTACGCTTTCAAAAGGGAATTTGTGCAGTTATAAATGTTTCATAGACGTTTTTTTTATCTTGACCTTGGCTTTAAAGAAAATTGAAAAATGAGCCCCGATTTGAGTCGGATTTAGTGTTGAACATAAGCCTAAATGAGTCATAACAACATGGAGAAGGATTGGTCATGAATTCGTCGTAAATGGGGAATAAGTACACAAAAGGAAGCTTAAATAAAATATGCTCTACAAGGAAAAAGAAAGTTTTAATAATGACTAAACCAGAGCTGAATAGCTAAGGTTTAAATTTGTTTACAAGCAAAAATTTGCAGTGTGTCACTTCATTTCGCGAAGAACGAGTACCACCTGTTGTTGGATTCGCTGATTCGTAAAGCATATGAGTTTTCGAACAAAGGTTTGCCAGAAATAATTTCTGTTTTTTTCATTCATAACATTACTTTAAAACACGATCGTGAGACAATAGAGTCGTAAGCTGAATTTAAACTTAAGTATGTTTCGCACAGTAACGCGCATCAAATCTTGAGATTTTAAGTTCATACAATTTTTATCTTCTGGTTCTTTTTTAGGCAGTTTCCGAAACGCACATAATTAATTTCATTTGAATATGACTACCTCTTCTAATAATTAATAATAATGATAATTATTATTATTAAGTGAATTTATAAGGCTTGTCTGCCCTCAAACTCAAGTAAGTTTACTACGCAAAATGGCAGTACGGTAGTATTGATCATGAGAAGTATCGTTTTAAGAAGTGACTCCGACGCTACGAATTAACGCGGATTGATCAAGATAAATGAAACTACTTCTAAACGCCACTTATATAATTGTCCTTTACCGATGGAAGCTGCCTTTATATACCTTTGCTGTTTAGATAATTTACTTGGCCTTTCTTCAAGGACAGAAGTGGAAAGACTACCATGATAATAGGCTCTGCAGTTTTTGTTGCCTTCCATGTAATCCACTACCGCGCGAAAAGATCGAAAACTTAAAGATATCCATGAACTCGTTGGTAGAATAAGAAATTTATCTCGAACCAGAATAGGCTCCTTCAAAGCCAGAATCTCCTCTTCCTTGAAATTATCCAGAACAAACTTTTCAAGGCCAAGAAAGTAACCATTTTCAATCTTGTATCGCTTGCAACCTTTGTTTACTAAAATAGCTTTTCGTTATCACGCAAATAAATTTATGCAATCGTTAAAATTGACCAATCAGAAGCCAGCCAGCAAAAGTCTGCTGGCTGGCTTCTGATTGGTCAATTTTAAGAATAGCTAAGCCCGTGCGCCCAGCCGTCCTGTGCATCAGGACACCCAAGGCTGGGGACTGAGCCAAGGAGGAGCATGCTATCGATTGTATCAACTGCCTACATCTTCCAAATATGGTAATCGTGTACCGGATATGAGGACTGGAGACAATCAGTTACGGTGACGCTTCTTTATCTTTCGTGAAATATGGACCAAGAACCCTTTGATGATGCTCAAGGTTTTAGATTGGCCACTGATCATCAGTCCATCCGATCAGTTTACGGCAGCTAATGTGGTCCTTGTCGTAACGTTTCAGTTCCTCTTCTGTTTTTTTGCTCAAGTCGCGACTAAAAATCGTGTTTCTTTCTTTGTCGTTTTAGCAGATTTCACTCAAAACAAAACAAAACAAAAAACAACAACAACAACAACAAAAACTAAAACGAAATAAAGGACAGCGGACCCCAACCCCGACCCTGTGTTGGCATTTTCACTGACGCCTTCTTTTCTACCTTTTGATGATAAATCAATTTGGCGGCTGATATGCTGATTAAGGTACAGTGCGAAAGAAGTGAAACTTTTATGAGTGGATGGATTGTTGGCTCTACCTGCCAAAGCGCCTAAATCCCCCTTTTAATAATGCAAGGCATTATTATGGAGAGCTGCTCCATAAGATGTGCAGTAAAAATTTGTTTAGTTAGTTGCATATTGTTATTCAGACAACCGATGAAATCCTGAGAGCCATTGATAAAAGGAAACTAACTGACCTTTTTCTTCCCGACTTGAGCAAAGCATTTGACAGTACTAATAACCATGAGATACTCCTGGACAAATAACAGGATTCTGGAGCTTCTGTATCAGTGATTGAATGGTTTCGGAGCTAATTGACTTCACGATACCAAACCGTGCGAATAAACACACCCTTGTCGGACAAGGGAGTACAAATTAATTAATTATATAAATTTTTCTCTTTCATGTATGTATTGAAGTACGAGGCGAATAAAAAAAGGTATTGTTGTTGTTGTTGTTGACAAGCTACTTGTCACTTCTGGCGTCCCACAGGGGAGCATCCTGGGTCTATTACTTTTTAGCATCTACGTTAATGATCTCCCTTCGATTCCCGAAAACTGTTCCCTACAATGTTATGTTGATGATACCAAACTTCTAATCCCATTTCAACTGCAGGATAAGCTAAGAGAAAGCGATGACTAACATGAACCAGGACCTGTTGACGATTCGGAATTCATGTTTTAGTAATCAGCCCTTAATCCAGATAATACAAACTTATCATATTTGGCATTAGACAAATAACTGCCAAGGTAAATAAATAACTTTCGCCTCTCTCTTTTGGGGAAACAACTGGAACCCGTTAAAGGTGTAAGAGACCTTGGTGTGATACTAGACACTAATTTTACATTTAACGAGCATATTGTTTCTACTGTGTCCTCATGTATGAATAGGCCAAATCAATCCCGTTAAGCATGTTTTTGAGAAAAACGCCTTTTTGATTATTATCACAAACGCATTAGTTTTTTGTAAGCTGTTTTATTACTCCCCTCTTGGAGCAACACCATCCAACCTAATCTGGACAAACTCCAAGCAGCACAAAATTTCGCCTGTAAAATTGTAGGCGTGGATGGAAAATTCGATCACATCACTCCCTTGTCAAAAAGAAGCAACCACCAGCACCACTATATTTTCGACTTGCTGTTTTCGTACTTAAGTGCATGACCGAGTGTGCTCCAGGATACTTAACTTCAAAGCTCGTAAAAAGATCGGCCGACTCGACAAAGAAAACCAAGGACTCGGAAATGTTAAGCATACGAAGGCAGCGTGGCCGAGTGGTCAGCGCGTCGGACTCGTAATCCGGCGGTCCCGGGTTTGAGTCCCGCTCTGGCCACTTGCTGGATTTGTGCTCGGTCGTCCCGAGATCAAATTCTTGGCCACGCTTGTAAATAGCTAACTGGTTGCCTTCTGCCAGTTGGGGTTTTTAATCCTATTATGTTGTATTTGAATTATTTGTTTCTAAATATTTGAGTGGAGTGCCTGTAAATTAGCTGGACAAGCTAAGTGCAATTTCCACTATAAACAAGCCTTTAACCTTTTTTTTATACCACTTTTCTATACTGGTCCGAACCGCCTTTGAGCGACATCATTATGGAATGAGTTGCAACCAGCACTTACACTAGGCGGATCATTGACTAGTTTTAAGCATCAACTTAGGCGACTTCAGGACGCCTTCTTTTACTAAGCTAATTATTTTTCGCATTTTTAGCCCTCTGTGTGCAGGAACCGAGTGTTTTTTAAATTGTTATTTTGTTATTTTTTTTTTATTATTTCCCAGTTTTTATGGTGACATTGAATCTGAAAAGGCCTGTGGGGACCAGCCAGTGAAATATGTATGTATCTACGTATCTAATCCAATGCTGGGAGATGTGTGTTTGCAAAAGGGGCCAGGTTAATACGTTCACTCTCCGCGCAGCCAGAAAAGGAGACAGTTTATTTGCACTGAAATCCTGAACTTGATCAATATTATTGCGAATCATAAAATAATTAACTTGCTAATACAATATTCTCGTTATATATTTGTGGAAGATTAAAAAACAATTAATTTAATAATTAATTACTTATTTAAGTTAGATGGACCTCAAACTTTGTTTATATATGAGAGGTATTTAAGGAACTAAGGCAGGGAAATTTTTTCATGGACTCTGTTAGGAACAATTTTTGGCCTGCAGGTAATGTGCCCGAATGTTAAAAACACTTCAAGTACTCCTCTTCCACTGAATGTTTTGTACCTGTTTTAACTAATCCAGACCAATGAAAACTATACTCACCGCTCACAGAGTGCTGGCAGTTTTTACCGTCTCCATTGTAATACTGGTGACATGAACAGCGGTAGGATCCAATAGTGTTTGTACATGAAGCGAACTTGTGGCAGCTGTGTAAACCGCTGGTGCATTCATCAACATCTACGAATGGAGATTCAGGGTGCTGATGTTTCAAAAATGTTTGATGTTTTCAAGGCTACAAGATTTGATTCTACTATATATTTAGATGCATCGTGTGTCTTTTTAAGAGCGCGTTATAGTGCTTGCCTGCGCCGCAGACGCTCTAAACCTTCTGTATAGAGATCGTAAGGCGCTTAATTAAGAAACCCGTAAGAAACCCGCCTATCAGAAACGCTCACATACGTCCTTGCGACCCTACAGGATATTAGAACGAGCTCATGAGAACTAATTCGCAGGCGGACTATACAAATGGTTTAGACGAGTGCGTGGGCCGGCTGCAACAGAGGCTATATAGTGCAAGAACATTAAAAATATTCAGTTATTATCCCCACCCCCCCCAAAAAAATACTATTAGATGCTTATTGGAAACCAAGTCAAGCAATTAATGCAACATATAAACAGGTGGAGGATAGTGGATTTAAAAAGTATAAAAAACCTTGAGACACTTTCGTAAGACGACGCAGTCTAGGCAGGCTTTGCTTATTTTAATTTTTGCATAGAACTCAGTGATAGAATAACGGGTTTCAGTTGGGAAAATTGAAAATATTGAATAGCAAATTTATACTAAATTACTCATTTCTACCAGTAAATGAGTTCGTTCTATAGGGAAGAATAACAGTCAGTCGATCAAAAGGTCTATGAAACAGTAATAGTTCTGTACAGGAGCTGGGCTCCTGTTCTGTACTAATAATTGTGTGGAGGCTTTATGCAACCCCGCCTACGGCTCTAAAAAACTGTTGCATCATGAATCATGACATTGTTGATTTGTTTCCACCACCTCAAGAAAAATAAAACAAAACGAAACGAAAAATCGCACCATTGCACATCCTTCCATCGCCTGTGTATCCTGCTTTACAGGCGCATGCGTAGGATCCCACAGTATTGCTACACACCGCATTGACGTCACAGCTGTGAGAGTTTGTAGAGCACTCGTCGATATCTGAGAACATGAAAGAACTCTAAATATAAAAATATCTGTCTGAACGACAGTCAGAGAAACGTAAGTGATTTATTTTTAAATAAAGATATGATCGTCGCAGTGGTAATTGCATTTTAAGAAATTGCAATTTAATCCGAAAATAATAATAATAATAATAATAATAATAATAAACTCGGGACTTCAACGGGATTCGAAATATCAACAGAGAAAAGAAACATCTGACGGAGATCCACTTTCAACACACATTTATCCAGGAGATTTTACAAAACGAGCTATAGTTTCGTCTTATGACCTCGATCTGCAGTTGTACGCCACACTTAATGATATCCGAAATAACGGACACGCGCGTCACGTAGCAATGCACGAAAAACAATAAAAAAATAACAAAAGATATCAAAAATAAAAATAAAAACAATCCTCCGTAACCAGGTTATAGGGTTACAACAGTGATGATTCTCCAATATATTTACTCCAGGAATCTTGAAAGAGCAGCTCATAGGTAACACCAGTACTGTGACAAGAATGAAAACTTAACATGTACAGTTAAGTGACATTCTATTAATTACACTGAATACGATCGTTGATGTTAATGAAAGCAACAAAGCTTGGCAAACAGAAATGCTATTTTCTTACTTTGTTCTGTCCCGCTGATGGCCTGGTGACATATTAACTGGATATTACTATGTGCAAAAGGCACCAGGGCAGTACCCGGCAAACATAAAGTGTCATTCATAGAGCTGGTTGTAGACAACTCAACGTATAATTCGTCTTCTAATATTAACAAGATTCCTGTGTTCGGAATATACTGTTTTCACGGACCCAAAAGATCGTCAAGTTAAACATTACTACCCAACGAAAAAGGCAGTGACTCTTAGCACTGGATCTGGCCAAAATTCTGATGGCTCAAAGAAATCAGCATCTTTCTTTTAAGGTCTTTAAGTGTATGGAATTTGTACTTAAGAAAAATCATTTTTGTAACTGATGTTGCAGTTCTAACTATTAAGACTATTTAGCTATTGTTTTAACCGGACTTTCATTTCTTACAACCCTTGCCCATCTTTATGACGCTTTTGAAATACGCTAAAAGGTACGTCTGCGAAAAAGGTAACATTAAGGGACGCGAAAGAGGATTTCTAACAATTTTATTTGGAGGTACAAAAAACTTCTGACAACACAGGTGGAAAACCTACACGTGGTTTCTCAATTCAACACAAAACATTTAGTGCTTTGAACTACGTCAAGACTTTGGAACGACAGTGAAGGAATCGCTTAAAAGAACTACGAATTCGAAGTGGGCTACACCAAGAGCCATAATGGCTCTTGGCTACACTCAAGAAAAGTCGAATTCCCCAGTGTCAAATACTTTCAGCACTCTCAACTATGTCTCTCTTATCAGTGCAAACAGTCACAAAAGAAGAATAAGACGTGATGAGGGACTGGATAGAGAACTTTCGACCTGTCTAACAACGAACTATAAGAAGCGAATCAACTCAAGATAAAGCGGGATTTTTACCACCAGCGTCACGGAATTATGTCATGCTATTTGCTTTAAAAAGCGGCTTTTCATCAATTGAATTCCAAAAATAATGGTCCAGTTTAAGATTATTTGGCATTGATATTGTGTCCCGTCGTCTTTTGCAATGGGTTGCAAGGATTGAAACTTTAGTAGGCCAACAATAAGATACAGAACATACAGCAACCAGATAAGTACGAGACTAAAAGTGACGAAGAAGGTGACTTTGAAGTAGTTTATGGCAGGACATACATGACCAGGTCGGGAAGATCAGTACGAGACTGGTGCGTCTGGTGCGTCTGGTGCGTCTGGATCTATGAGGCTGGTGTCATATTGAAGGTTATACGACTTATATTTTCAGTTACCAATAAATTGTACTAGTGCATGGCAGAGTTCATGTAAATTTAATGTACATTGATTTTAGTACGGCCTACCACCAAAAATGAGAAATTGGGTACCCCCATTAGCACCCTCTTTATTGTTTTACCTGACTGTTCACGTCAGAAGACAAGAACTATTTGTAACCCTATAACCTGTTTAAGGAGGATTGTTTTGATTTTAATTTTTTTTATCTTTTGTTATTTTTCGTACATTGCTACAATGACGCGCTTTGACATAATGTTATGTGCAAGACCGACTTGAGTCAGTGAGAGTATGCGAGATACGTATTTCTTGTTTTACTTTAATTATTATTTCGAATCATTTACTTTAGGTTATGTCCATCGTTTTCTACATATTTAAAAGTAGAGATCGAATCAGTAGAACATATATACAGGCACATTCATCGTCTTAGAAGCGTTTTTTACAACACGGCAACCGCTTACCAGAGCATGTTTTTCCATCGCCCGTGAATCCTGCTTTACAGGCGCATGCGTACGATCCAACAGTATTGCTACACATCGCATTAACGTCTAAACTGTGAGAGTTGGTAGAACACTCGTCGATATCTGCATCAGAATTGTAAGTTACATAAAGCGTTAAAATAACAGATATGTAGAGAGAATAATAGTGTACATATGGTTGAATTGCTGCTAAGGTGATGTGCTCATTTTTGTTTTTGCTTTTGTTTGTTACTTTAACAAATATGGTCTTAGGCTTTTTACCAAAACGCCATGACATGACAGTGTCTATGTTTTTCAAAAAAGCATTACACCTCCAATCGGTTTAGTTGTCTTCTTTGACTATAGTATTACAGTCGAAGAGGAACCTCCAGATTAGAGGGGGCTAATGTAGGAGATGCTGGTAAGGTGTTTCCTCACTTGTCGCAGAAAACAATAACACATCATTGCTTATCATTATTTCCCATTTTTTCACGTTTAAAGTATCGCCGACCAATTGACGTTTAGAGTTAGGAGAGCTGCTACATGACTAGAGGGTGACGCTTACTACAGGTGGGAGGGTGTCGAACTACAGGTGGTGCTTTTGAAAAAAAAAAATTCTTGTGCGCAATTTCAAAGTTACGATATGTGTAGATCAATCTCGGCTTATGGGTCGCTTTGGAAGGGTGGTCGCACATGAAAGATCGACAGTTTATCTTAAATACCATTGCAGAGTTTTCCATCTCCTGTGTACTGTCATGGTACTGGCGATGAAAGGTGTTGTCAAGTAACACAATCTTTTTGCTACACACGATATATTTTATCGCCTTACTACGCCTTTCATCGCCAGTATTAAATGTCACGTAGCATCTATTTTTTACTGTTTTTATATCTCATAGCAACCCTTACCAAACCATATGTATTTTGAAACTGATTTTAAAGTGTTTAAAATGTATTTTCAGTATTTGAATACTATTTTCCTGTATTTTAATCCTATTTGACAAAAAAATTTAAATTTTCGCCTCTGTTTGGAATATATCTTAAGTGTAGTTAAATTATATTTCATCAAAAGGAAAACCTCTCTCATCAATTTACAATGTATTTTGTTTAATAAATATGATTAAAATAGGGTATTTCAAATGTATTTTGGGCATGGAACCACTAACACTGTTACAAACAGAGTTCAAATAGACTATTTGAAATATGTTTTAAGGGCTTAAATGCGACTGTTTTTTAAATACTTTTAAATAGGGTGCTTTAACACTGTTTTGAGTTGCATCTACAATGTATTTTGAGGCGCATCCACTCACAAAGTTACAAACATAATTCAAATAGACTATTTAAAATATGTTTTGAGAGCCTAAGTGCTGACCGTATCTTAAATACTTTTAAATAGGGTACTTTAACACTGTTTTGAGTTGTATCGAAAATGTATTTTGAGACGCATCCACTCACAAAGTTACAAACAGAGTTCAAATAGACTATTCGAAATATGTTTTAAGTCCTTAAATACTGACCGCATTTCAAATACTTTTAAATAGGGTACTTAAACACTGTTTTGAGGTCTATTTGAATTGTATTTTGGGCACACAACACTCTGACTATAAAAACAGATTGTACATAAAATATTTAAAGTCTGCTGAAAGACATCAAATGCTGACCTTATTTTAAATACTTTAAAATAGGGTACTTGTATTTTGGGATACTTATACTCAGACTATAAAAGTAACAATTGCACAAAGTTAATTTTTAAGGATTCATCGTGTCACGAGTTCATAAATGACTCAAAACAAGCTGTCATATTGTGGACCGGATTCTTCTCTCAATAAAGCTCGAGGCGGAGCCAAAAATTAAATCTCCCAGCAAATCAAAAAGAAATTGAAAAAAGAGAAGAAAATTAGGAATAGATTTTAGCTTTGACTGACAACACGTAACTGTGACAGTGTGCCGATAAAGGATCAATCCGCGTTCCTCAATGTTCATTACCTGCAAGCTCTCTGCGAAAATCTCCGCCTAGATTTTAGCCGTGATTCAATTAATGCAGCTACGGGACATTCCACAAGTTTTTTTAAAAGAAAATTCTTAAAATCACATTTTAAGTAATGGTCCGTGTAAGAACTAGGCAAAAGAACAATAGGCCAGTGCAATAGCGGCAGTTATTTTTTAGGTGCTAATTTCTCTAATCAAATTAAATTTGAATGCTCTGATTGGTCAATAGGGCGAAAAGCGCGAAATTTGAATTTTAGAAATGAATTAAGATAGCAAAAGAGTCATTCAAACAACTTTTTATTTTGTCGACTGCTCTGATATGTTGAAAACTATGACATATCTAAAATTTAGAAGATTTCTTTGTGCCAAACCCGAGCTAAGTTAAACTGATATAAAATTACATGAAAATGGCACAGGAATACATCAATCGGCGACCTTCTGAAAGACAGCTACTTCGGCTCTCTCAAAGGAAATGTCAAAACTGTGATCGGAAACAGCAGAAATCCAAGCTCACGTGGCGAACGCGCCAAAGCCGCGCGTTATTATTTTGCCACCATAAAGAACAACAATTTCATAAAATCATGTCGGAGGGTTATCCTAATGGCCCGCAGTTGAATAAAAAGACGATTGTCCATACAGAAAAAAATTCATGGATGTTCGGAGAATTCGGTTTCAGAAGAAGCCCTCTTCGCAGTCTTACATGGTAGATATATTTTTAGTCTAAATGTCTCCGAAAAACCCACTTTCATTCTTAGAAAAAGTAAAGGCAACAGTTACAGTCAAACTTGCATGATCTTTCCTACCGGGTAACACTCAAAACTAGTGAGAGCTACATTTGTATTACATATGATGACTAAGCGGCTGCCGTCTTACAACTGTTGCGAAAGTACAATTACAAATTTCCATTCGTTCGTCTTAAGTTGCACTTAGCTCGTCGAAACAGCCTAGATTGAAAACAAATCGAATTATAGAAGAGTAAAGATACACAAAATTCTGAAGTTTCGAAAAGGACAAAATAACTACACAGTCACATCATGTGGTGATGCGAAAATTTATTGGCTTCAGCTTACCTCAAGCTCAAATCAGGCGGCTTCACATCGCTTTATGAAATTTAATTTATTTCTGTATAAAGAACAAATCTATCGCTTCCACTGTCTGTGCCCAGCTATTCTCCGCAATTACTCTGAATCATCACTGAATCAAAGCGATCTCCTCCTGACAACATAAACAACTGCTTCGGTCCTACTTGTCCACATGGCCACTCGACGACACGTTGAGGACAGCTGCAAACGCTGCCGCAGTAGGAATTTCACGATCACTCCGATGATAAAATACATTAAATAAAAGCAATAAACAATCGATAAAGGGAAATATGTAGATTTCGGCGATCAAATTGACGACATTTCTTCGGACAAAAGACAAATTTCCTCACATCTCAAATATCGCATCCAAGCTGGTTCACAACAAGGTCACGCGTGTGTTGCACGTTTTCCGCTCTAACTTTTGATTGGCGCACAGAACAATGCTTAAACTTGGCCGTGAGGTAAAAGACAGGAGAATGGGGAAAATAAAGCTAAAAAAAGTTGTTTTTGTCACGTTTTTCTTTGTTTTTTCGTCGATTTTTGGATTTCAGCCAATCAGAACCCACCATTTAATTGAAATTAAAAATTAAAAGTTAACACCTTTTAATCGATTTTGCGTTCTGCCTGCCTAGTTCTTACGCGGACCATTACTTAATTTTCATGTAGAAATTTTTCGCAAACAGCCGAAGCCGCGGGCCGAGAACCGGATGCACGCGGTCAATTGAGATTTGTCTAAAATAAGTCCTTGAAATTTCATAATAATTAAAACAAACTATATCCAAGCTAAGATCTCACCTCGTATATATTGCACTAAGAAACAACGCTCAGATCTGAATAAACTCCGACATATGGTTATCTTTCTCTCATAGACTATTCCGCACATGCATGGCATATTATTTTTGAGATGTCACGCGCGACTGAAATCACGACTTCGCGCCGCGGTGATGTGACAAATGCACGTGATAAGCAAACCGTCCTTTGTCCTTTGCTCATTTCAAATTATTGAACCGGCGGTTGCTCCCGGGCGGTTGCTGTGAGCTTAAATGCGCTTGATTTTACTGTTTGTTACGATCTTACAAAAGTACACTCCAACTCTGCGGATTGTCGGAACACGTAGATGTTGCTTTTATCACGAATCAAAAATGGTTATAACTCCTCAGCGACTGTTATGTACTTTGAAAGGTTCTGGTTCAGGAGAAGAGTCCAACAGTCTAATTGTAAGTATTAAATATACAATGTTACTAAGACGCTTAGATATACGCCATATGAGAAACAAATGAAGGGTAGTAAACATTTATATAGTCGCGCCCGTATGGCAATTTTACTTTTTACAGGATTCCTTGCAGAGACTCGCTGTTTTGTATAAATGATCTCAGTCACTTGATGTCACGTCACCGGCCTCTTTCATTCTCGCGTAAATTTATTCGTATGCTGTTCTTTATCAGCCACTAATTAATGTTCAGGCGTAGCCTGCATTAAGCTTCTGATGATATTTGAGTAAAGCCGTGAATATAATAAACAATGTAAGTTACATGCATGTAGATTAATATTTACCGGTAACGTCAGTAACGTTATACCCTTTTGAAGCCAAAGGTTGATAGCCTGTGTACATACCCCCCCACCCCTCCCCTCCGAGTTTTATTGAGGGAAGGGGTCTGTACACAGGCTAAAGATTGATTTGAGCATTTCTGAAAAATTCCATAAGAATTTCCCGAGAATTCTTAGGGAAATCAACGTAAAGTAATCGGCTAAGAGATAATTCTCTTGAAGTCCTAGCCTAGGACTGTGTGGAGAAATTTCGCCGAGGTAAATCTTGCTTTTTCAGGGTAATTTTCGACGGTTTTGTATTCATTTTATTTCATGAATTGAAATGGTATTTCCATCCTGTTTTTGTACTATTTTTATGCTCTTTCGATCGATTTTTATACTGTTTTCAGACAACTCTAAGGCTATGTTCTTACAATTTTATACTGTTTTTGCATTTTTGCATCCTATTTTTGATGTATTTAATTCATAATATATGTGTGCTATTGCTTTTCTTCTTCTGTGGTATTTTAATACTGTTTTCAAAGTATTTTTATTGTATTTGCAAATACGAGTATTTTACTAAATTTCGAAACCGATTAAACAGCTATTAAAATATATTTTGAAGCATAACATTTTAATAGCGTTTTAAACAGGTTAAAACACCTTTAAAATCAGTCGAAAAATATATCAAAAATATATTTTTGTACCTATTTTAAACCTGTTTTTTTCAAAATACGTTTAAAATTGACATTAAAAATAGTTTTAAAATAGTATAGTAAATTAAAATATGTTTTTGAAACTGTTTTTATCCTGTTTTTATTCCGATTTATAAGGTATTTAAAAACTGTTTTTGACCTGTTTTGAGCCTTGCAAAAGCCCTGGAATTTTTTATATATTTTAAAAGCATTTTAAAATACTTTAAAAATTCTTTTTTAATAGCGTTTTAAACAGGTTAAAACACCTTTAAAAGCAGACGAAAAATACATTAAAAATACACTTTTTACCCTATTTAAAACCTATTTCACAAAACAGGTTAAAAACAGTTTTCAAAAATTGCTTAAAAATACATTCAAAACAGTGTTGGATTTGGTAAGGGAACCATAACTTCGCTTTTACTATAGCAACTGTTTGTAAATACTATAGCAACCCCAAGTTAGCTTTTATTGCCAGTTCTTGTAATTTAACGGTCATTCGTGAATACTGCCTGATGAGTGTGGCCATTCTTTGACTACACTAAACAGCGTTGTCGCAATAAGACGATGAATTGAAATCTTACTACTATTGATCATTATATGATTATTGATATTAGATAGTTATAAATCTTCCTACGCTTAGTACCTTTAAAACAAGTGTAGTTGTAACAGTTAGTACATGGCACATCATTCCAAGTGTAACCATGCTTGGCGCCAAGATTGTGAACACAGTCTTCATTTTTCCAGTCGTTCGGTTGCTGTGGAGCCCAGAACCTAAATTTGCTTATTTCTTTGTTTGTCCACACAAAGGAGCCCTCCACACTTCGGTCATTGAGTCCAATCCAAGATCTCTCTTCGTTGTGACGGTGTTGAATGTAGACATTTTCTTCTTGATTGTGAACCGTTACCAAATTGGAACTCATCGTAGAACAGTTTGATTCAGCGATCAGCCACGAGGCGCATGCTCGACTTGTGAAGTAACAGTAGCCACCAAAATAACTCCATCTTGGCTGGCAAATATCTGTGATAAAGATATAAAACGACTGTGCAGTATAGAAATCCCCACACATTTGGTCCCTTAAAGAGTGCTTTCTCCACAGGCTTTAGAACGGAACAATCGAGAAGCGGGAGAAATGGAGGCAAGCAACGCGAGCGACTGGGGACGAGGCAGCTTCACAAACATCATTCCACCTGCTTATGTGCGGCCGATACGCTTAGCAGGAGGAAAAGAGGAAAATAAAACTGACGACGCCAAGTTGAGAGCATTTTGTACATGGGATAATCAGTAGCAAAAATATGGAACGACTTCCAGGGAGCTAATACTTTGACTGGTACGTACTTTGACTGGGTCGTACTTTGACTCGTACAACTCCTTTAACTCATCTGTCCGAGTGATCTTGTTTTATTTTACTGTAGTACCATAAGATCGGTTTTAGAATACGCATGTCAAGTATTTCACTCCAGCCTTCCGTTCTATTTATCCAAAGAGCTAGAACGTATTCAGAAGCGCGCCTTGCGCATTATCTTTCCTTATGCAAGCTACAACAGCGCGCTCAAAGAGGCGGGCATCCCATCTCTTTACGACAGGCGAGCGTCTCTATCGTTTGATCTTTTTAACTACATTGTTCTTGACATTAATCACAAGCTCGCAGGTCTGCTCCCACCTAAAGCTGAGCACCATAGGCAGCTGCGCAGCAATAGGAAGTTTAACGTGCCAGTGTGCAAGACTGATCGTCTTAAAAAATCTTTTATTGTTAGCCATAGCCTAAGGATGTAAATAAATATGTTTGAGTATGTATATTTTCTTAACACAAGGTTATCCCAAGTGAAATGTTTCTATTAGATTTGTACATTTTTATTATTATAGATTTTTAAACTATTTTAACTATAAATTTTGTTTCTTGTATATTATACACGTAATTCAGTCTTCGGACTGCGAGGTGTTTCATTTTTTAATAAACGATTTATCTATCTATCTATCCATCTAATATTTAAAATGATCGCCTTCCTCTATTAATGAAATGACCCTCGTGAAAGTTATCTCTGTATGCCTTCATAATGAATAAGTTGTGAGTAATCAATAAAAAATATGTGTTACTAAAACCAGAATTCCATTAAACCGTTCTTACCTGACAAGACAGTATATGATACTGAGAGAGGGTCGTACTTTGACTGGTACAACTCCTTTAAACACACTCGAGCTCCTGTTGTGTTGATATACTGAAAAATGAGATATGTGACGATGAGAGTGCATTTGATAATGCACAATTCCTTAATTATTTCGTCTTAGTCTCGACAATATAATGTACTTTGCAAGTGACTGCCCTTAATACCGTATTAACTACAGTTTTACTGACTAGCATTTAAGCCCAGTGCAATTAACCGGCCACAACATCATTGGCCAACAACTCCCAACATTGTTGGATGTGTGGGGGGTGTTCAAGCAACTCGCTCGCTACACGATGAGGTGCTAGGAATCTGATTAACATCTTGGTCTTTATTCTTCTTTGACTTCTGCTAACAATCTATATCTTCTTACTCTTCTTCTCTACTCAATCCTTTCTCTAAACTAACAAGTCAAATAGCTGACCTTTCAGTATAACCAAAGCTGGACATGCTTGAGTTAGCTGAGCGTAAGAATAAAAAAGCAAGGTGAACTCGGTGTGGGTAATGTTTTGGTATTACTGAACCTACATGGTTGTGATCAGCAAAAAGCTTACAAACCGATGAAAAACTAAAATGCTGGTTAACAAGCCCAAACAGGAACTTCAACGAGACTAATGAACCAATGTCAGCGCTGACATGACAAAAACGACCACCTACAAAAGGCCAATTCCCCCTTTTTTTCTTCGTTTACCGTCGAATGCGTTTCCTGATATTGGGTCGGTCGGTCGGTCGGATTGAAAAAAAAAAAAACCTAAAAACAAAATACAGGAAGTCTTGGAATAGTACGCCCTGGCACCCCAGGACGACGTTAAAAGTTAACATTCACATATTTGGATTAACAAAATGTACAATATACGGTGAAAAATGTTCATGTCTTTGTTCCTGTTTTTCTCTATGCTGTCACTATGATCATTTTTCAGATGAAAAGAATTATTTCAATTGAAAAATGGTGTAAATACGTCTTCACTTTTTTTTTTTTTTGAAAATGTCAAAAATTTGGGTCGGTCGGACGACGGTAAACGGAGAAAAAAAAGAGGACGGCCTAATGTATGATAAAGTAACATCTGACAATTCTTCGCTCTCATTGTCACACAATAAACACTGCACAAAAAATAAATTGGAAACCGTCCTGTGAAAGAATCCAAGAAAATTGAACGTTGTAGAAGACCAATATATAAACAATTTGTCCAAATCTCAGGTCTTTGTGGTCTACAGTTTCTGAGTTATTTGCCTAAACATTCGATTCCACGCACATTCGTCGGAGGTTTGTATGGAGACGCCATATTGGTGGACAGAAACTGTCCACCAATATGCCCGCCGGAAATAAACAAAACGATCTGGAGTTCACTTTTTCTATAAAAGCTCTTCCTTTTCACTCGAGAACTAGCATACGTGCACAAAAACACATCTACACTTGAAATGGTTAAACTGCCGAAAATCAAGAGGAATGACTTTTTTCAGTGAGACAGCATTCCTTTTTGGTGTCACGCACTGTGAAAACTCGGAAGTTCAAATTGCTGTATTTTCGAAATGAAACATGCTTCGGCGCTGGAAACTTCTACAAAGATTTATTTCTATTTATCTTCAACCTAGTGTAAACTAGTAATAGTTGACACTACAGCTGCCCCCGCTCTGTATATTGTCTGTATATTGGCTCGTTGTGTAAGCTCTTTGAAATATACCGATTCATAATGAAGATTTTCACACATATTCCATACAATAGGTGAGATAAACACAGGAAACGCAAGGTTCCATGCACAGTTTCAGTTCGATTTACACAGCTTTGATCAAAACATTCCCAGTTTCGAGAATAGTTTATTCTAAACACTTTTTACATTCAGTTCATTTTATTTGCCGGACCGGAAAGTAAGCCTTAGAAATTAAAAGGACGTTTGATCAATTCACGCTCGCGCATTCTAGTCTTTGTAAACTTTATAGCGGAAGGACATCTGTGAGCAGGGAATAAGTCAGCACAGAATTTGATTGTAGGCGAATTTCTGTAATTGTCCATCGTTCTGCTAGTGATAAGCTAGCCGTTGTTCACTCGTCTTGCTTGTTTGGGGCTGAGTCTTATTTCGGTCAGAGAGAGAGAAAGAGAGTCTGGCAAGGTTTCGAATCAAAGATTTGTGAACTTGTGTCTGGCAGACTCTCCAAGTGTTTATATATACACAGTTATACGTACCTTATAACTTCATCTGCGCTTAACGAGTGTCTTTTGGTCCACAACTTTCAAAATAACTACTCCACAGAATGTCACTGATAACACGTAACGCAAAAGAGTATCCAAGTATGTCACAAAATCTACCTAAGCGGTGCCTTCGGGAATTTCTGTCCTTACGTCATCCTAACCATTTTGTACTTGCGTGCGCAAACAATAGAAACGTCATCATTACCTACCGATTCCTCGCGGCCCCTGTTCAAGCAAATCGAGATTTTTTCTATATTGACTGTATGACTGTATATTTCAACTGTAAGTACTTTCCTTAATATACGTGCGAGTTACTAGAGTGCCTCCTCGGGATTTCGCCTTCTGGGCGAAATCACTGCGGGGGCAATAAGAATTCGTAAAATCCCGCTTTCTAGACTTTTGCAATCTGATGACGTCACTGTGAAAACCATCAATAGCAGCGAACAATGTTCCTAAAATGACTTTAAGTAAATCCGCGAGCTGTACTAAAAGATCAAAATAGGAAAACACCTACGTGGACAAAATCTAGATTAACTTTGACCCACTTAATGAAACAAAAAATAAACTTAAAAGATGAGAAAAATCTTAAAAATGACTTTCAAAATACTTCACAACAGATGTTATACGTTGTGTCCGTTTGCACACCCTGCTGCATGTTGTTGCATGTTGTTGGGAGTTGTTCCGCAAAATTTGAAACCGATCAAACTTTCAGCTACGTGCAAACGGACGCAACAACTCCCAGCAATGTTGCGTCTGTTTGCACGAGGCTTTAGCTTACTATAGGGTGAAGGTACATGTCATTGGAATTGCTTGATAAATTAATGTTGTCAAAAGCGCTTGTATTAATGACAATGAAATTAAGAAATGTACGCTGCATGTTGGTTCACTTATTTTGAATACTGTGACTTAATTACACCCCTCCTAGAAATAACCGTTAATAGTTTTTGCCGTGACAGGAAGTTTAGCAATTAACGCGGGCGCTAACGCCTTTAAGTTTAATTCATTTATGAAGATTATGTAAAGAGATTTGAAACAAATTCGTTCGAGTCGTTTCACAGATATACAAAAAAGTGCTAAAAGTCCAAAATTTGGAACAAGTTGCACTTAGGTGGTGAGAAAACGGGTTAGTTTTCAAGATCGCAAGAACGAAAATACACCAAAATTTCCTAGCATCAAAATATTATATTAAGCAGCGTTCTCACGCTACTTAAGAATAATTTGAGTCATTTATAACGTTTTTATTAAATAATCTATCACGGCTATTTAAAATTTAAGGTATGAAATACATTTTTCGTTTCAGTCGAATTCAAACTTGCAGAATTGTTTACTTTTTACGGAGGTTATTTGCTAAACACCAAACTTTAAGTTCCTAGTGTTGGATTTTCAGCAGCT